AAATAATCCCAGATAGCTGGGCGAAATTAAAATTGCATCCTAGCTCAGGTCTCAGTAGGTGTACCTTTTTGTATAAAAGAAAACGATGATTTTAATGAGTTCTGTGTCTTTATTCTGTTATTTCTTTGTTTTAGGGAAAGTCTGACAGCCCTGCTTGCCCACTTTTTAGCAGTCTGAAGTAAGAGCGAATCTAGAAACAGTTGAATATATTGTTTCTTTAAAAATCTTATTTATTGATTGCCAGCACTCTACTTCACCATCATGCTTCCTTCAATCTGTAGTTTTTGAGTAATCATTCTGACTCAGAACCTCTGCTTTGCTCTCACCTTGGGTAGAAAAATAAAAGCGCAGACGACAGAGCAAGACAAAAGGCAAGCGAGCTTTTATCAAGATGATGTGAAAACGCAGTTGACGTCAGTACTATCACCAAAATAGCAAATTCAAACATAGGTGGAGATGATAACTAGTACCGATTAGGAGTTTCTCAGTAACCAGAACTCACTGCCTGTCAAAGTCGGCAGTTTTCGAGGCCGGTGGCTCTCCTGACAGAACAGCCTATTTAGGGCAGCTCAGGCACTGACCACTTTCCAACACCTCATCAGACAGACCCCCGTGCTGCCTGTTTCCTTTCATAATAGCTCCGCTGCATTTACTGCAGCTCAGCAGCACCAACAGGTGTGCGAGCAAAGCGTGTACCATGTATGCTGCATGCAGGCATTAGAATATGCTATTTTCAGTTTAGAGCTGTGTTTTTAAACTGATGCTGCAGTGGAGTTAAAAAGCAGGAGGTGTGCACATAAAGCTTGAGGGATGGTAACTACAACCTCCCAGGTGCATATTAGTGAAAAAAATGACTAAACTACTCCAAAACTGCAACAGTTAACAATGGTTACATGAGATGATTGAATAGTGCAAAGAGAAAAATCTTTTTTCAGTGTGAGTATTTGAACAAATTATTTCATGATCATTGTAAAACCATTAACTCATTTTTCTCATGTCTGCAAGATTTCAACAAATACTTTTGGAAGTCGTGAATCCAGTTGGTTGTTTTTGTGAAGTGTGTTCTGGAGGCCATGTAGAGCAACTTTGTGTGGAGGAAATTTCTTTCCTGTGAAAAGGTTTTAAAATAACCTAATATGGCAGGAAGTTGCATGATGAGGCGCTTTGAAATTGGCTTAATTCGATAAATTACTTGCTTTAAAAAATTAGGCGTATGGTTCATAAGTCATGTGCATGACCACACCTCCAACCTTGATCACCTAGAGTTCTTGAGGGACAGGCATGATGAAAAGAATCAGGAGGCAGTCTCCAGTCAGGGGCTCAATTTTAACATTTTTCACCGTAGAGGTTTAGGTGGATCGGCTCCAAAGGCAGAAGAAGATGATGATTAATGAGAAGAAATAAAATGAGTTTTATTTTACTTATTGCACCCAAAGAATGTTACTATCCATACCAAAAGGGAGAAGCTGCATCCTGAAATCTGTTACAAATATTGCAAAATAAACCCATATTCTAAAAATCACAAAAGAACAACAACATTTGAACATGTTTCCATGTCCCCAACAAAAGAGCTTAGCTGGGGTTTCAGCAGTGCAATATCAGCGTGGTGACCAGTAAATGTGAATCTGTTCAGCTAATGCGTCCATGTACCTCCAGCATGGCCACTCTCCTCCCTCCCGCCCCCCCCTCGCTGTGTTTTTACTGGAGCTGTGGAGAATTTCATTCGGTTTGGAGGCTCAGCTGCTTTCTCTTCCCCATCCCCCATCATCCCTCTATCCATCATTCTCCACAGCTCTGGACACAGCAAATTATTACCCCCGCACAAACTCCTTTCCAGTCTGACAGGAATCTGCTGGGTGTCTGCAGGTATGAAAAGTCTAAAAAAGCTTTGAACGCAGTGTCCTCAGAAAGGCCTCTGATGGTATAAAAAAGTCTGCAATTAAATTAGCAAAAGTCGTGAGTATTTTCTCTCACAGGCATTGGCAGTAACGTTATTTGTAAAGTGTTTTTGTATGTGATTGCTGGCTGTCAGGAGACATTAGATAAATTAAATGTGGGACTGTGCTGCAGGAGGCGGTTAAATCCTTTTTGCAGAGTATTAGTCTGCGCATTAGATCTTTTAGAAGTGTTGCTACTAAATCAAATAAGTTCATTGGCTCATAATAGACCAGTTTTATCAAAATGAAACGAAGCATTTTTAATTTGTAAGAACATCCATTTCATGTCGCTTTAATTAAATAGCGCAGAATTTGGGACTGCAGAATGATAGAAAAATACTTAAATATGATATAATGATAAATAATTGTTACATCGCAGCTAAGAAAGCAATACAGGAATTAAATTTCATTGTGTGTAAACCCTGAAAAGGTCATGAAGTTCTGGTTCCCCCAACCCTGAAGACCTATTGGGAGAGATGATGTCAGTGCGTTCTCTTTTTTTATGTTTTAAAACAAGCTCCGAGTGAACACTAAGGAGGTGTACGCAAAAACAAATCCTTTTAAAAGCCATTTATCGGTGCCCAATTTGCACAGCTCATCATCCACACTGAAATGATGAAACAGTGGGATATGGCTGAATGCCATCTTGCTCCCCTTTGGTCAACAAAAACAAAACTGTACATCACAGGGAACATCAGCTCAGTTATTCTGCTGAGTCTCAGCTCATTAAACCTCCCTCCTATTCTCTGTGATCACTGGTACTGTCTCCAAAAACACAGAGACTCTCAATTTATTCTTATCTCTTTTTTTGTTGTTTTTTTCGGTTGTTAGGTTATGCGTTATATATATATTTTTCTATTTAATGCGGGAAGCCTGGCTAGTCTGATGATTGGCATTTGATTTAACTATTCATCAGGATCCTGTCAGCCTTTTGCAATACTGGCCTCCATCTTTCAGGGCTCTCTGTATAGCCAGTGGATATCCTGGACAAACCTTACTGTGCTTTGCTTGTCATTGGTTATGATTGTGGAAATCTAAGAAAAAAAACAAAGCAACAACAAAAAAACCTTGATTGATTGGCCAAGAACAGTCAGATTGGAAGCAGACCACTGACAGAAAAGTCTACTTAAAATTTTGTCCTTGATTTGGCCTAGAATCCGCATGTTTATATACCTAGTTTATAGAGATTAGTTGGTCATTGGTGAGTCGGAAAGTATGCCTTCATCTGTGTGTTCTGTGATAAAAGAGGTTGAAAGGAGGTGTAGATCTAATTGAACTCTTTGTCCAGTTGTTTTCTCAAGTCCTGGGAACAGATCTCACACTGGTCTGTGAGACCTGTTGCTCAGCACGCCTCTGTTCTGCACCTGAAAAATAAACCTGCGAGCTGAACCTTGATGTTTCAGTGTTTGTTCTCTGCCAGTGGAGTTAAACAGGCAGATTAATTTTCGCATGGTTCCATCTGTTCTTAAAATTCGTGGAATCTTCGACCGTGTTGACTTTTGGTGGAAAAGCAACATTTTTGAGGCTCCTTTGCTGACTGTGACGTTGTTTCTTCTGTAGGTAAAACAATAGATAGACAGCTCTAATGAAGGCAAAGAAGTGTGTGGAGACCAAGCAGTGAGGATCATGTTCACAATGTTTTCACTGGCAGAACCTCTTAATGTCCTCTGGAGCTGCAGACTTTGAATTTAAGTAAGGGACTCCATGGCACTGAGGTCAGGATTCTAAGACTTTAATCATAACAGATACTGGTGGCTGTACCTTAGGAGGTAGAGCGGGTCATCTACTTATCAGAAAGTTGGAGGTTCTGCAGTGTGCATGGCTAAGTCTTCTTGGGCAACATACTAAACCCCAAGTTGGTCTCCAGTGCCTTTATCAGAGTATGAACGCGTGAATGTTGGATGGCACTCAGCTGTAGAAAGAAGTGCTTGTATGAACAGGGTGAATGAAGTGAGTGCTTTGATTGGTCAAGTAGAAAACCACTATGCAAGAACCAGTTGATTTACCATTTATGCTTTGGCTCATTGTCCATATAAAAGCTGCTCCATTATCTCTTGATAATAGCTCGTTTAGAAACTGCTGTAATCATACTAACTTAGAAATTCATTCTGTACATTTAAAGTTTTATAGTACTCGTGCACAATTGTAAGAAAAAGAGCCTGACTTTGTTTTCCTACCGTCATGCTTCACTTTGCATCAGTCCAGTTTGGTTTGATTTTTGCACATGAACCGACAGATCCAGGGAGGCTCAAGTCAGATGTATCCAAAAATAACGCTTATCCAAAAGCTGCAAATTTAATCTTAGCTGCCTTCTGTGGGTTCTTCAGTGGTTTGCACCTTGTCTCTATTGATTCTCTTTGAAAGATTATGGGTTGAATTGTACGAGTGATGGTCAGTGTAGGGCTGTGTGATATGACTAAAATCTTATATCCCGATATAAGACATCTATTGTCCCGATAACGATATAAATCACAAAAATGTTATATTTTCTGTAAATTCTGTGAATCTCTTGCAGCTCAACTTGAGTGAAGTGTTTCCAGCTCGGCGTCGTGTAGCTGGAGTCGAGTGTTTTAACCGACGCATAAAACGATACATTTTTAGACATAAGTTGTAACGGACACAGTTTTCTTTGTGAGTATTTATTACACAGCGTGCTGCGGGGAAAAGCCTGTTCTAACGTTTGAGTCTAAGGTTTATTTTTTAGCACCCGACAGCTCTTTTTTTTTTTTTTTGCTTCTGATCCGTAAATACTTTGCATACTCTTTCACTTTTTCACAGTTTATTTTGAAAAGTCTCAACAGGATCTTGAGCTTTATTGTGAAAGGTTTATGTGGAACATAAACAAGCGGACACGCGATGGTTTTACCATCGTTGTTGCTAACGACAAGCATAAAAACAGTCGCTAGTGTGGTTATATTAAATATAAGAGAAAGAGAGAACTTTAAGAAATTAATATAGCCACTACAGTGACCATCAAAACGATGAAAAAATATTGCCGCAAACAGTTTATTTTGCGACACCACGAAACAAACGATATCGTAAAATGAAACGATAGATGTTTTTATATCATCATCCGATATATATTGTTATATCGAACAGCCCATGCTGTTTCTTGCTCACCTGAAGGAATTTCATCATCCTAGGTTATTGTGAGATTCAGTTTTAACACCATGTTTTGAGCAGACAGATTTAGAGGCTTTTCTGTTTGATTTTTATTGTATTGTTTGTTTATATAAGCAAGAGGTTGTTGCAATAACAACACACCACAGTACGCTAAACCTGAGTTCATCTGCAAGGTCCATCCATAAATAGATATTAAAATACATAAAACCCAGCAACATTAGTTGGTCACAATAAATACATAGACTAAAATCACAAAGCAGTACAAGGTTGACTGGTTAACAACCTCCTGGCGACCTCCTTGTGTTTCCCAACCATTTGGAATGTTGGTTGCATGAGGTTGCTGGCTATTGCTAACCAAAAGTGCCAAAGAGGGGGCTGGACCACAGCCCTCTATGAGATTTGCTTCAGTCACCAGCAGACTGCCACAGTCGTCTGTGGCTTGCTTGGAAGATGTTGACTTCTTTGCAAACACTTGCTACATCTCACTGAGTAAAATCTGAAAAGGGCTTCACAAACCGGAAGAGTGTTTGCCTTCAAAGTAAATCAGCATGTTTCAAAAGGCACATCTTTTTTTGAAGGCAACTATATTTGTTTCCACTCTGCGTCAGATTTCTTGCAGGTTCACTACCCTTCAGCCAGTATTTGCATTCACGTTGGTGTCTTCCGTGCAAACTACAGGCAACTCTGTCAGTCTGCTTGTGACCTGAGCAATCTCACAAAGGTTTTCAGTGCACCACCAACGCGGCCAATTTCCCCCACTAACTCACAGCTGGTTGCTAAATGGTTGAGGAAAACTGGACTTGTGTTGCTGGAGCCTTAGACGAGAAGCAGCAGACCATTCATGACTACACGGCATGGTTTACATTTAAAGGACCCTGATCAGGATCCGGTTCGAGCTCTGCAGGTAAAAAGCTCATCTACATAGGTAAAATCTGGTTTTCCAAATTTAATAACTTAAGTATACACATCTTACAGCTCCCACTGGATGCTGCATGTTGTTCAGTGCAAAGTGGAAACATGAGTTCACAGAGGACCCGGGGAGTCTGATTATGTAACCAATTATGAGCGAGCTCAAGATTAGCAAATTTAATAAAACAATCAAAATCTTATTTCTTTACTTCAGTTCAAAACTGTGCACTTCAATTCCAGCATGCTTTGCTGAAAATGCCACGGACTGGTAAATGAAACGTCTCTGCTCTGGTCACCAGTGTGTGTGTGTGTGTGTGTGTGTTTGTGTGTGTAAGAACTCCCCTGTCACCACTAGCTACTCTCTTTGTGTTGTATCCTCTCTCCGTCTTTTGCTCTCCTTTCTTTGTTGCAGCTTCCTTTCGCACCTACATGTCAAGTTGTTTCACCGAAATAAGACAATGGAGCACATTCTCCCACAAACGAGCTTTGTTTAACCGGCGGCTTTTCGCCGCAGCCGAAGCAGCGACAACGCACGGCTGAACGCCGCGTTTCAGACTTATTCTGACTAATAAAGTGAGAATGTTTTTCTGCTTTCATGTCGTCAGGAGAGCAGCAAGCAACATATGACACACTGGTTGTTAATGTTGTGACACTAAATGTCAAAATACCTCTTTGATATCACTTTAAAGCAGTACATTGTTTTTCTGAGGCTTTGATCTGGGTCGTGAATAAAGCAGGCACAGGTTAGCTGTTTCGTCAGGCCACTGCTTCTCTGTGAAGTGTGTTGTGTGTGTGTGTGTGTGTGTGTGTGCATTAGAGTTTTTCACAAATTAACAGGCAAATAATGCTTTGTTTATAGCTGTCTGTAATATCCTAACAGGGTAGTCCTCGAAGGATTAATCTATTTTCATCCATCAGCTGTCGAATACAAACCTTATCTTCAACTATTTAAAGGCATTTTTCCAGCAAAAGCACCCAACATTCGACGATTCCACCCTTTGAAATATTTTAAAAGTCCAGTTCAGCACTATGAACCTATTCTAGGTTCCAGATACATCACATTTACACAACAGAAGTTGACCCAAACTACTTTAGAGCAGCAGTCCCCAACCTTTTTTGCACCACAGACCGGTTTAACCAATATTTTCACGGACCGGCCGTCAAGGTGTCGTGGATAAATACAACAAAATAAAGTGATACGACCAAGACAAAAACTGTGGTATTTTGTAATTATATTAATAAACGCAAATTCACTGTGTAACTGTGTATCTCTATTAGCAGCGTCCTTCTGAAACGCGCCAACAATGCTGAGAGTAACATCCTCCTCTCTGCCCTTTTATGCTCTCTGGTCGCTATGGTAACGCGTAAATATTTCTTTCAAAATAAGACACACAACTGCAACACGGGAAAAGACCCAGGAAAACAGAGTTGACGACAAAGACCCTGAAAACCATGAATTTCACACCGGAACCTCAACTGCGGCCCCGTACCTAACGACTCATGGACCGGTACCGGGCCATAGCTCAGGGGTTTGGGACCGCTGCTTTAGAGACAGGCGCGTTTATATTCAACGTCTCCAAAAAAAAGAAAATGTTTTAAAATACACGAAAAGCTGAACGGTGTGTTTTATCGTATTAACGAATTATTGTTGAAAATCTGAGTGATTTAGTGCTCATTAAATGTTAAAAGTATTGGTATCGGCAGTACTGGCCCTTTATTTATTGGTATCAATTCAGCACCAAATTTTGCAGTATTGTACGGCACTATCTGTAAGAGTCACAAAATTAGAGTTTCACCTGAAGAAAAAACACACAGATTTTTTTGATGTTACTCTTTGAGCTGTTCTCCTTCTGCTTGAAGCTCCGCTTGGTTTAGCTTTGCTTGTGTGAGAAGAACACAAGGCTCCTTCAGGTTAGAGCCATAAGCTGATGCAGTAGATTTTTTTTTTTAATTTAGTAGATTTGCAGGTAAAAAAGAAAAAAAACTGTCTTATAAATCACTCGCAAATGCCGATCATCTGTTGTTGACCCAAAGAGATGGAGCGCGATGGAGGCCACCTGTCCTGGAAGAAGAGTGATTGACAGAGGGAAGAGAGTGAGGGCTGTGATCTGTTCATCTGTCGCTCCTCCAACACCTCCACAGCCAGTGTTTTCTCTCCTCTGTTTGTTCTCTTTCTCTCTGTCTCTCTCTCTTTCCCTCTCACTCTCTTTTGGGAGCTAGAGGAATGCTACACATCTGCAGTGTGTTGGAAGTTTGTGTGTGTGTGTCAGTTTATGTTAGGTGATGTTTGTTCTTGTCCATATTTGCCTGTCTTTTGTGTGTGTTTGCGTTGAAGTGAGAGAGGGTGGAGGCGGGGCTTAGTGGCGGTAGGGGGCTTAGCATGTGGGTATGAAATAGTGGGCGGCCGGTGTCCTTTTTTTCCACCTCCCCCCACTTGTCGTGCACATGCATATTTCATTGAAGTGGTCGTTTGTGTCGCCAGCAGGAGAGCTGCTGGATCAAACCAATAAACTGTGGGTCTCCCGATATCTGTCTGTCTCAGGATACTGAAAGAAATGATACTGGATTCAAATCCAAATGGTTGTTCTGGGATTTTTTTGTGTGGTTTTTTTAGTTTTTAGTTTTTTTTAAAGACATCTAGATTTTGAAAAATCCATCAAGAGACAGCTGCTGGCTGTGTGCTGCACCTGTGATTGAGCTTTCTGCTGTAGTAGCCGTCTGTCTTTGACTGATGTGTTTTTATAACTGCAGTGCACTTCAGACCAGAGGCATCAGAATTACATTCACATATGGTCGTCTGCCTTCTGTTTTCTGCCTTGACTCTGTGCAGCAACAAAGGACAGATCTATATTCTGACTGGTAAAATTTGTTTGCACGCCTTATTTACACGGTGGGGACTCACCTTTTATTTTGGGGAACAAAAAAGAAAGTCCCCGTAACGTAAATCATCCGATTTAGGGTGCAGACCTGCTGTGTGGTTAGCGTTAGGCAAGCAGTGGTTAGAGTTAAAGGAAGAAAGAAACGAATGTAAATCAGTGCTCGCGAAACACAAATGAACGCGGATGTGCATGGTTATGCATATGTGGCAGCTGTACACAAGATGCAGTGTTTGGTCTGTAAACAGCAGCCTGTGCTCTGTCACTTTGGAGCCCAGGTTGTGTAAAATGGTTTCCTTTTCCTGCAGGCACTAAACAACCCCCATAAACTGGGTCATCGCAAAACACTAACTTTTAAGAACCTTGTGACAGTCAACTTCAATTCAATTGGCTCAAAGTTCTAATTCAGTAGTTTTAAATCTAAATATTTGGTAACTTCTGGCACTACGTGAAATGCACTAACCAACCACTTCATTAAGTACACCTTCCTTGTACCAGAATCAACAAGGTGCTGGAAACAGAGATTTGGCTGCATATTGAGATGACAGCATCACACAGTTGCTGCAGATTTGCCAGCTTCCAAATGCTTCCATGTGACTCGCTGATTAGACATTGAGATTAAAGAGCAGTTGAGCAGGTATACCTAATAAAGTGGCTGGATATGTGTTTGTTTAAATTACAAACAACATTAAAAGACATACTGGTGCATTTTTTTAATATACTAACTGACATATTACAGGCCAAATACATTATCGAGTAGTATAAATATTGATGTAGTTGTTCATAGATATACGGCATAGTGCTTATTCAAAAAGTTCTGCACACCTGAAGGGGGGGAAAAAAAGGCAAACCATATCCGATTTGTCATTAGTCTCTGCTCCACTTCTAGTTCTTTTGCTATTTTTAGATTTTTAGCTTCCTGGAAGTGCTGCTGCCCAGTTTCGTGGAAATCAAGTTCAATTTTTACTTTCGGAAAGAGGACAAAAGCAAAAAGCAAACCTGGCGAGCAGGGCAGATGGTGAGCAGAGATTGCATTGTTTTGGGCAACAAAACTGTGCCACCACTGAGATCATTTGCAGCAGATTCAATTCACTTTTATTCATATAGTGCCAGATGACAACAGCAGTCACCTCAAGTAGATGCTGTCCGTCGGACATCTATGGACGTTACAGCAGAACTGCAGCCTTGAATTCCTGACACTGAGGGACAAATTAACAAAGGACCTGAACAGGTGTCTACCTTGAGGGCTTGGAGTTAGTGGGTCATAGGTTGAAGTCCAGCTCTCATTAGCTGCTGCTGCTTTTATACTAGAAAGGATTTGATTTAGACGAAGATTTTGCACAACACAACTCCTGACTTGTTTTGCCTCTCATTTTATCAGAAAATGTTTGTTTGGTTTCAAATAGTGTCATCCTGCTGTTTGAAATAGAAATTAGATTTGCTGCCTTTTGCAGGCTCTGAAACCTTCGTGTGCAATAGTGGAAGAAGATTTACTGTAAACTGTCACACTTCAGGGGTTTCAGTTCCGTTCAAAACTCCCGTTAATATAGCGCGTCTGTTTTAATTACGCACTACAGTCCTGTGGTCGAATAAGAGCCAGAGGTTGCTTTCACACCTGGGCCACCCCGTGCTAAAAACGAAGTGAGATTAACATGTACATAATATTCAAGAGCAATCCGATTTCACTTCTTTCACCTTCAACATTCACGCCACGACTTTGGCAGCGTTCTGGTCAAGTCGGGAAGGATTGCACGGAGGAAGCGAAACAAAAATTTTCTAGGTACGGGGCAGTTCCCCTCCTGATGATTGCGAAATGCAATTAGCAGATTTTATTAATGGCATTTACTTTGTTGTTGAAACATGTCTCCGAATCCTCCTGATGGACTACTGTGGAGGAGATAAATTAGATTGTGTGGATTAGGTGGAAGGACAGAAAATCTATTTCCGCAGTACAAATTGAGGTTTGTTGTTTGTTTTTCATGTGTAAAAAGTCCCCTCTGTGGTTAGGTTTTAAAAGTAGCCTAAAGTGATCATGTATGACGTTTTAAATGTCTATTAAATGTGGAACCATGGGGTAAGTTTGCATCGATATATATGCATCAGTATAAAAAGCTAATTTAAATCTTGTATATTGAAGTGTCAAAACCTTTGCAGACGCATGCAGATTCTGTGCATAAAACTAAAAATGACTCTGTGTGCGTGTGTGTGTGTGGATTACTTTAATCAAAGCTGACAGACTGGGCACCAGCAGATCTGTGCGCTTTGTCATTTAAGGGGTGTGTGTTTGTGCATTTTTAGCTCCTCTGTCATTAAAGGAGATGAAGGGAGGAAGTTTATCCAAGGCACTCTTAGTGTACCCTGTAGGTGTGCGTGTCTTTAAGGATTGTGCTATATGGTTTCCTCATGTATAATGGATGCTGCTTAATGAGCTGATGTTTCATTTAAACGTCTTCATCCGCCCACTCCTTATCTTTAGATTAAAGAGCACGCGCTCAGCTCTTTTGCCCCGATCATTGTTTGCTCTTAACAATCTGACAAAGTCTTGCTTTGTGTCTTCGAGTTTCGTGTGAAGGAGCCGAAGCCTCAAACACACAAAGACTGAAGTGACTGAGGTTCCTCCAAGCTCACTGGTTGTCACATCGAGGAAGTTGTTGCTAGTTGCAGATACTTAAGATGGATTTATCTCAGGTTATGGATGTACTCGTTACACTCGCTGAGAGTTTAAGTTAAAGCCCGTGGATTTATAAGGCAGTGAGAATCTTATTCAGTATTTGTACAGTCGGTTTTGCTAGATGACGAACTGCTAGTGCTGCTGGCTCTGAAGCTAAACTGAATGGCACTTTTCCCCCCATGCTTTCCTGCACCTACTCCATCGCGCTACCCCCTGGGAGGTACAGCCTCAGTCTCACATTGTGAGCTAGTAAAAGACTCCTTTGTTGGTTAATGCTTATATTTCTCTTTTATTAAAAAAAAATGGACAGTACAGTGCACTGCTTCCCAGGGTGAGTGTTTTCTGCAGCGCGTGGACAGGTGCTGTTCTCATGCACAGGTTAGAAATGAAGCTGCTCTGACTTATTGTATGCACCTCAGTGCCAGGAGGGAAACTGTATGGTGTGTGTGTGTGTGTGTGTGTGTGTGTTCTCTCTAAAATTCTGTGAGGCAAAGTGTTAGCTGTGCTAAGCTACAGTACATCAGCGTGCAGACTCAGCTCAAATTTGGATCTGTATTTAAAAAAAATGTAAGCACGTAGAAATATAAATCAGCCAGAAGTCTTCGTCCGCAGCAGCTTCCTCGTCCGCCTCTCTCCGTGGGCAGTCCCGAGCGATCCAAGGCAAAATGAGAGTAACACTGCTCTCATGTTAAAAACAGTCCCGGGCCTCTCATAAATCTGTAGCTCTGTCAGGTGCGTTGCATCGAGCGTGTAATTTACACACTCTGCTCCAAGTGGATACTTGTCTTTCGACCAAACCACCGTTCAACACAAGGAACTTTGCAGTGATTTTTTTTTGTTTTGTTTTTTTTATCTTTGATACAAAATAGCTTTTATTTTCTGTTATACAATAGTATATGCGTTGATAAACCTTTCTTGAACCAAAAAGTCGGCCAGACTGTGGCCCTGTTTCTCAGCTGGAAGCGATCCCCCAACTCCAGCACCGGACACAGTAACAACTCTGCTGCTGTGGGAATGCGTCAGTGTTAAACTGGCAGAGGGTTTATTTAGATATCCTCTTCTCTGTGGAGATTTTTTTGTTTTGTTTTTAAGTTAAGTAATCATGAGACAACAAACTGTGATCTAGGCAATTCAATTTAAGGTTAGGCTTCTCCCTTATTTCCCAAGGGGTCGCCTCAGCGGATAGATCCAGATATTTGATTTGGCAGTTGCCTTTCCCGACAGAATCCATCCATTTATCCTGGCTTGGGTCGAGCACAAGGATTAGACCGGCTTGTAACCCTCTAAGGCTGGGTTTGTATCTCCTCACAGCCTCAAACCGGGATCGTTTGTATGTAAGGCAACCGTGTTAGCGAGAGTCCAGTCAGTAAAGCTGAATTCAAAGGGTCAATGGAGCGTCTGACGCTAAATGCTGCACAGCAGCTCAGTTTTTGTTACTTTTTGTAAAGCCACAGGCAAAAAATGACAACATGCATTAACTACTTACTTTAGATATTTGGTATTGAAACTTGAAAGTTGATTGCTCATCGTCTTTCTCACCCCTTCCTCCACCACAGCAAATGGTGATGAGCCTGCGGGTGTCGGAGCTCCAGGTGCTGCTGGGCTACGCCGGGCGCAACAAGCACGGACGCAAGCACGAGCTGCTGACCAAGGCGCTGCATCTGCTGAAAGCCGGCTGCAGCCCCGCCGTGCACATGAAGATCAAAGAGCTCTACCGAAGACGTTTCCCGGCCAAAATGGTCTCTCACTCAGAGCTGGCCTTGCCTGGGCCGCACCACCCGGCCACAGCTGGAGTGGTCGGGGGAGGGGGCGCGGCGCTGCCTGCTGGCCTGACGCAGCTGGCTTACGAGGGTCACGCCGGTCACGGTGGAGCCCCATCGCCTGCTGCGTTACTGCCGCTCTCACTACTCGGTCCTGGGAAACACGAGCTGACCGGGCTGACGCACCACCTGCCCTCCTCAGCGACACTGCATCCGGTGCATCCAGATGTTAAGCTCCAGAGGCTGCCCTTCTACGACATGCTGGACGAACTCATCAAGCCCACGAGTCTAGGTGAGGACATGTGTACGTGTGGCTTTTGTGTGACACGTGAATGCAACATGAATCAAATAATACGTTTTGTGTTAATTTTCTATATGTTTTTATTTTTGTATCAGCTGACAATATGAAAGCAAACCTTTTAGAATCTACAGGAGCAGTTTATCTTTCTGGCCCTCCGCTTTACTGTTTTGGCTCAAACACTCAGGCATCTGTTTTCAACAAACAAAGCCCTATAAATCCACTGTACACAGGCGGCTCAGCTCTAAATAACAGGCAAACCAAACTGGTAACTAGCTGGGGAGATGGTAAAGCATTCAGCAGCCCAGTGAACCAGTTACTACTCTCAGTAGCTGGTAGAGACCACAGAAAGCTTATGGAAGATGAACATAGCCACTATTTACGTCATTAGTTTATGGGGTCATGAGTTGAGCATTTTGGCTGAAATCATCCTTTGGGGGTGGATCCAGCTGACAAATCAAATGTGGTATACAAATAAAGTTGTATTGTAAATCACGGTCAAAGCACGGCCATACAATAGTGAAAATCATACCCTGCTTTATTAAATTTACAAAGTGAGCTTGAATTAAGCTGCTGCTGAATTAAGACTTAAAAACCAGCGACTGACGATGAACTCATCAGGCTCCAGAGTTCATCCATGGTGTACAGCATGATTTAGCAGTGTTAATTTCATTGATCAATAGCTTTTAATCATAGGTTTCATCGACAACTTTCTTTTTTGTGACAAAAACAAGATAACAACTAGATAAAACTAAGCACGAGGATAAAAACATACGATGAAATGTATTGATGCCTTTGTCAACAAAGAAAAACAACTTCTCCTCTGGGGGGGAAGTTGTTTGGAAAGGCAGGTCCAGTTTAGAAATGATCCAATCACACTTGATGTCAAGGAAAATAAGACACTTTGTAAACCATGTGGAGCAAACAAAGACCACAGGTTTAATGCACTTCCTCACACTTTACCTTTTTAGACCTGGAGGCCACACCCATCTTTGATATACAGTCCGAGAGTACAGAGACCACAAGCACCTATTTGCTGAGAGGTTTGCCATGGAGTCTTAAATGTTGATGATACTATATAGTTGCAAACACTGTGACTGGTGACTAACACGAGATAAAAAAAGAAAAATAGATGCACACACATTCACTGGCCACCTGACCAGTACAGGGTTGGAGCTCCTTTTGCCTTCAGAACTGCCTCAATGCATAGAATTACTGCCATGTGATCGGCTGGTGGGATATTTGAGTTTACAAGCATTTAAACGGGCATACCTGATGATAAAATATGTGTTGAATGTGTGCGGCTGTATAAATGTCAGTCCATTTCTCTTTATTGTTATTATGTTGTCACATAGGCCACTCTGTTGGAATTTGTGTCAGGTGGCTCGAGCAACGCTGCCACATTATGAATTGCGCTTTTATTCATTTTGTACATTTATATTTCTAACTGTAGCACTAATGTGGATATAAACAATCAATACCAACACCGCAGCGCTGTATGTCGGCCGCACTGTGTTTGCTCAGCCGAGCCGTCGCTCTGTTGCACTGCTGTGAAAACCGTCCTGCGCACGGCGCGCTTCACACCGTCACATCTCGGGCTTCCTAACAAAACTCAGCTTGTTTGCCATGTGGCGACACACAGCTCTCGAGCGTTGAGGATCGTTAACGTGTAAGAGAGCTTCGAATCAAATCTTTTTGTTCTTAGTTTGCATAGCAGCTAATTCTGTGCACAGAGGAGATCACAGTGGTGGAATAAGTATGCAAGCTTGGAAATGAATCATTCTGAAGGATTATTTACAGATGTAGCGGACAGCAACATCCCTGTTCGGCTTCATCGGGGCTGTGCTGGTGTGGCTTGATCACTTCTTTGTTGACACTGGCTGCGATAACAAACCTGCCAACTGTCAGAATTTGAATCAGATTTGGCTAAATTGTGATATGTGTTTGTGTGTCTGTGTGACATTATAAGATAATGGCTCTCTTAGATTAGTAAGTAAAGTACAAGTTCATTAGTCACTTATATAAAATAATATTTATTTCAACTGTGACAGAAAACAAAACAGCTTTTTTAAGCCCTTCAGGTTCAAATATCCAGAATGTTCTCTTGAAGGTCCAACATTCATAATGCCCAGTGTTATGTGCCCTGTCGTCGCGTTAATTCTCTACATACCCAACTTTTAATCTCGCCTTTATCTCGCTTAGATTTGTCGTTGCATTACATCTACATCCAGCACCCAGTCTGCACTTAGCATAATAAGACTCTTTGGGCTCTGGGATATATTGCAAATATATGGAAATGTCTAGATTTTCCTACATTAGCATTTTAATGGAGTAGAAGACCATCTCGTGATTAATTTGCCTGCAGATGCATGCACAAACAGCGAGCCTGCAGCTCTATCATCCCACTCTCCCTCTTCTTCCCTCTCGCTTCCTCAGTCGATCCATTTCCTGCACACGCCTCATCCCTCTCCTCCCGCTCTGTGTCCCTCTCCGTCTTCTGTCGCCGCTGCCGTCCTCGGTCAAAATTTGCATGCAGAGTGATGAAATCGCACAGGCCTACACCTGTGCCACACACCCTCCCTCCATTCGACTCCGAATCGTACGTTCACATTGCTCTCGCGCACAGACTGCTTTCGAAAGAACACAAACATCTTTTCCAATAAATAATAAATGCTCAGTCCCTCATTGTTCTGGGGGAAACTGAGAGAGCCAAAAGCCTGAGTGATAGGAGCAGAAACCCGGAGGAGGGTGTCTGGCATCGTTAGGTGAAGCTGAAGATTTGAATTTGCCTCCGAAAGTGAAACTAAGCTGCAGCTTTGAGGTGACGACCCTCTTTGTAATAATCGGAGGCAGAAAGGAAAGCAATTGATTCATTTTAATTGCCCTCTCACTGGAGGATCTCTGATTCTTGCTGGGAGAATTTCTTTAATTTTTTTCCCCTCGTGCCTTGAGACAGCCTTTCCCTCCTCACTCACTGATCACACTCTTCAACATAATCTCCCTCCTCTCCGCTTGTGTACTCCTCTCTGATCTGCTGATTACTGCTCGCTCCCTCTCTCCCTCTCTCCTTCCTATTGTTGCTGCGTCTCCTCTCGCCTCGCCTCCCGTTCCCCTCTCATTTTTTCCCTCCCTTCCCCCACTTGTTTGCTTGCTTCTTCTGCTTTGCCAGATTGTTTTTTTTGGCCATTTATCTGCTCAACCAGTATTCTGACAGTTTTTGGTTTTTTGGTTTTGTTTTTTACAAGAGCACATGTGCAGACAGACTTAAGACAGAGTGAAAGGCAGGATTTTTACTCATTTGCTATGTACTATTGTCATAGCCAGGGTTGAGGTTTTTAGGAAGTTCAGACACAGTTTTTTTTATATATATATATATATATATATTAGGGGTACAACGATACACAAAATTCACGGTTCGGTTCGGTTCGATATTTTTTCGATACAAAAAATGTTCATGCCTTTTTAATTTGTCATTTATTAAAATTATAAATATATATTTTAACTCAAAAGTACAGTTTTTAAATTTAATGTTGCTGAAACAACAAAGTAATAAAAAAAATATCTGATTGAGGAATCACTCATCTTTGGAAAAGAGAGTTTATTACAGAGAAATGGCTCTTTCCAAAATAAAAGCTATACTATACGCTTCTTCTGGGCTATATTCTCAGCAGCATATTGTAGCGGGTCAGGGCTGTTCGGGGTTCTGTTTGTACAGTTATGTTTTGTTTATGTTGCCATAGTGACGGGTGACGCCCTCTCGCTGCGACGGTGTGTCCTTCCGGGGTCAGAGGGCGCCCTGTGTGTTGTTGTTGTTGTTGCTGTGCTGTTGCCGCGCTGAGCAGTTAGCTAGCGGCAGTGTTCTTCTGCAGATGTCAATAAACGGCTGTGCTCCCTGGCTAGCTCACGGGAAGCAAGACCAAACGACACCTCCGTCTCCTCCTTGTCTGAGCTCGCCACATTGGTGTCAGAAGTGGGATGATGGTGGCACCCCATGTTCTGACCCGAGTGACTTTTCCCCCGCCGGTCGTGACCGGCCGGTGCGCCAAAAGAAGGCACCTGGACATTTGCAGGACTTTGTGTGGGGTAATGGGGTCGTCGGGGACGACTGACCCCTTAGGTGGGGGCTATGTAGCGGGTCAGGGCTGTTCGGGGTTCTGTTTGTACAGTTATGTTTTGTTTATGTTGCCATAGTGACGGGTGACGCCCTCTCGCTGCGACGGTGTGTCCTTCCGGGGTCAGAGGGCGCTCTGTGTGTTGTTGTTGCTGTGCGGTTGCCGCGCTGAGCAGTTAGCTAGCGGCAGTGTTCTTCTGCAGATGTCAATAAACGGCTGTGCTCCCTGGCTAGCTCACGGGAAGCAAGACCAAACGACACCTCCGTCTCCTCCTTGTCTGAGCTCGCCACAATATTAAACATATCAGGTCCCCATAAGGAGAATCATGTGCTAACGGCTGTCTAAATGACTCGGGTAAAGTTTGTAGCATGCATGCTTGTTGTTTTTGTCTGCTTCCACTTGTCTTTGCACTAGGATGATGTCGGCGTAAATGTGCAGTCATATTCGTTGTGTTCCCACTAGTGCTGTCAGCGTTAATCTCGTTGAAATGACGTTAACGCCACAACACGGCAAATCTCCGTTAACGAGCTACCGCGATCGCCCCGTGCATGGGGCTAGACGGCCAACACGTTAACGAGCTAACTGCGCTAACACACTAGTTCCCACCCATGTAATTGAGCATTGCGTGGCACATCCAACATACTGTTTTACTTTAGTCCATGACGCGCTTACCTTCAGGGTCATACGTCACATGAAAACCAAAATAATTCCAAACGCCAGATCTGAATGAGGGTGGGGGAGGTTCAATTTGCCATGTTGCAAGGAGAGCTTAACTTCTGTCTCGCTAGCTTGCCCTGCGCTCTTCCTTCTGACGATGCTGTCTGTGTTGAACGCTCAGTGGATCTGCGCTCGACAGTGCAGCCTAGGCGGAGTAGTCGAACG